GGAAGCAGTTTGCTTACATAAATTTCACCAGCATCCTGACTACGGACCACTATTTAAAGGCCAAATATTTGCTTATATCACCCGGCCAATCTAATGTAGGACGTAATAAAATACTCCAAACAGGCGACAAGCAGCAGCTTTCAATCCGCAGCGTGACAATTGTCAATGTATTACGGGAGAGGCCCACGTCTAGCAGTGGCCTTTAACGAACTGATAAAGGAGAATAAGATCAAAATAATCAATTGCTGTGTAAAATAATAAACAGAAACAATAAGATCATTTACAATGACGGTCTCTCCCAATAACTGGAGAGATCTGTGTTCAGCAGACGTAGGCCTATACGGGCTGATCATTATGATGGCGATGTACATATAATTTGTTTGTAGTGGTTTTTTTTTTATAGGATAAGGGTGACAAACGAGCACACAGTCCACCTGATGGTAAGTGGTTGCTGCGGCCCATAGACATCTATATCACTCCTCTGTTACAAATCAAAATGTAGATGCGTTGTCACCCGTGAGGACTAAGATGGAATGCCTCATTTCCAGTAAAAAGGGCCTCCGGCCACCTACACTCACCAAGCGAAACGCAGAGGTAAACCTCTACTTCACGCTGGTTTTCTGTGAGGTCGTGGTACTGCCCCGGTTCGAGCCGGCCCATCCGTGCGACAGCAAAAGCTGCCGCGTGACTCTACCACTGTCCAAAAAACTGTGGTGGTGTGAAAAGCGACAGAGGGAAACAAATCAGGAGATGGGCAGCACCGTCTTCCTAGTAACGTCTAAATATAACAAACTGCGGTTGCCAAACCGCTTGCCAAGCGTAGCAACTGGCAAATATCCCGCCCATGAGGCAATCGATGGGGGAGGCCAAGTTCAGCAGTGGTCTTTAATATGCTGTAACGGTAATGGTATACAACATGTAACGTAATTAACGCACACTCTAAGACACCCCAAGTAGTATATTATGTTATAATCATAATACATACACTGACTTTTTAGTGAAACATGTTTCATCATCATCATCATCATTACAGCCCTTCACAAGTCCACTGCTGAACATAGGCCTCCCCCAAAGAATGCCACAAAGCACGGTCCTGAGCCACCTGCATCCATCGACTTCCTGCATATCTTACCAGGTCGTCACTCCATCTAGTGGGGGGACGCCCTACACTTCGCCTGCCGGTACGAGGCTGCCACTCGAGAACCTTTCTTCCCCATCGGTTGTCGGTTCTTCGAGCTATATGGCCGGCCCATTGCCACTTCAGCTTACTAATCCGTTGGGCTATGTCGGTCACTCTAGTTCTACTGCGGATATCCTCATTTCTGAGTTTATCACGCAGAGAAACTCCGAGCATAGCCCTCTCCATAGTTCGCTGAGCGACCTTGAGCTTCCTCATCCGGCCAGCAGTGAAGGACCACGTCTCAGTTCCGTATGTCATCACTGGCAACACGCACTGGGTGTACAGTCTCGTTTTCAAGTTTTGAGGTATACCTGACGAGAAGATGTGCCGTAATTTCCCGAACGCTGCCCAACCGAGTTGAATCCGTCGATTGACCTCTCGGTCGAAGTTGGACTTACCTAGTCGGACTATTTGTCCCAGGTAAACATACTCGTCAACAACTTCGAGCTTAGTGTTCCCAACAACTACCGGCATAGGTGTGACATGGACATTAAACATGATCTTTGTTTTGTCCATGTTCATCTTAAGACCTATCCGTTGGGAAACACTATTGAGGTCATTGAGCATAGTGCTTAGGTCCTCCAGCGATTCTGCCATAAGGACTATATCGTCGGCAAATCGAAGGTGAGTGATGTACTCGCCATTGATGTTGATACCGTATCCTTTCCAGTCCAGAAGCTTGAAAACATCTTCCAATGCAGTGGTAAAGAGTTTCGGGGATATGACGTCACCCTGTCTTACACCTCTCTGCAATTGGATAGGTTTCGTACTCTGGTTCTGTACTCGGATAGCCATCGTAGCCCTACTGTACAAGCACTTCAACACTTCGATATACCGACAGTCAACTTGGCATCGCTGAAGGGACTGCAGCACCGCCCAAATTTCGACGGAATCAAAGGCTTTCTCATAGTCCACATACGCCAGACATAGTGGCAAATTGTACTCCTCGGACTTCTGTACAATTTGCCGAAGGGTATGTATGTGGTCTAAATATAACAAACTGCGGTTGCCAAACCGCTTGCCAAGCGTAGCATGTTTATGCATTAATTATTTATTAAATTAGTTATACTAGTTCCGGAAGAATGTTGTGGTCATAGTACAAATCCTCGAACGCACAGTCGCAGACGTAGGTATAGATTTGAGTGTCTTTGCTAGCCTAGTAGGTATCCGCTCGCGTTCGAGATGAGTTAACGCCGCCGCCGCCTCTTCACATAACTGTAGGTAATAGTGCCGAAAAAAAGCAGACTACACTATTGCTTACGTTAAAGAAATACCTACCTATGAATATTAATCGATGTGCGAACTTCGAGCATCGAGTTGTTTAAGTCTAGTAAACATTTGATTGCATCTTTCAATCACACTTTTCAGGCTTTGGACTGTCGACTCGGAATAATTTTGTTTATTGATTATGATACGAGGGCTGCACTAAAGGTATCGGGAATGGAATATTTCCACTGTTCCAGTCATATTAATTTTTTTTTAATTGAAAAGTCCTTGGGTTTAAAAATCGAATACCATTTATTTATTTAAAAAAAGATTCTCGGTCTGGTCACAAGGTTTTGTCAAACTTGTTTAGTCGTTGAGAAAATGGAATTGACTCGAGGAAATTCAAGAGCGATGATTTATTATGACTTTCGAAGTGGTTTAACACAAAAAACAGTGTATTGACCGGATGATTTCTGCATATGGTGATGAAGCCCCATACAAAACCACAATTTATCGCTGGTTTGCTGAATTTCAACGTGGACGTGTCAAGCTCAGTGATGATCTCGTCAAGGTCGTCCAAAAACTGCAGTCACCCAAGAAAACGTTGATGCTGTGCGTAAGCTGATTGAGGAAGATAGACATGTGATATACCGCGAAATTCAGGCAACTTTAGACATTGGCATGAATCAAATACAAATAATCTTGCATTAACAATTAGGTGTAAAAAAGTTGTTTTCCCGATGGATACCGCATTTGCTCTGTGAAGAGCAAATAGCGGCTCGCGTTACTTGGTGCGTCAGAACTCTCGAAAGATTCCACGCAGGATCCTCAAATGCTGTATACAACATCGTATCAGGTGACGAATCCTGGATATACGCATACGAACCCGAAACAAAAAACCAGTCACGAGTTTGGGTGTTTTGTCTCCAAAACCGGCCATGTTACGACTATTCCTCTTGAGGGACAAAGAACGGTTAATGCAGAATGGTATGCTAGCATTTGTTTGCCACAGGTCGTTTCTGAACTCCGTAAAGACAACTGCAACCGCCGCTTCATCCTCCATCACGACAATGCGAGTTCTCACACCGCACACAGCACAAAAGAGTTATTAGAGCAAGAAAACATAGAATTATTAGACTATCCGCCGTACAGCCCCGACCTAAGCCCTAATGATTTCTATACTTTCCCTAAAATAAAGAATAAATTGCGTGGACAGAGATTTTCATCACCTGAAGAAGCTGTGGACGCCTACAAAACGGCCATTTTGGAGACCCCAACTTCCGAATTGAATGGTTGCTTCAATGATTGGTGCCATCGTATGGAAAAATGTGTCAAATTTCGCGGAGAATACTTCGAAAAGCAATAAATACATTTTTAAATAGTAATGTTGTGTCACTTCCTTGATTCAATTTGAGTTGAAATTTTCAGTGCCGCCCTCGAACAATGTCAATAGCCAATATCCGTTATAAAATGTTATCCATTAGCATAGCAAAGTGGCGAAGCAATCAGCTTTGTAGCGGTTTCTAACGGTTGCCGTTGAGCAATCAGTTTCAAAATAGGAGGTTCAGATGCCTGGGTGATCAGTAATCGATTGCTGAAAACAGAATTCGAAACAGTTCTCTAGATAATCGTGGGACAGACGGACAGACATCGTGAAATCAATAAGTGACTTCGCAAGCTTCGCCACTTAATAAACTGTTTAAAATAAGAGGGGATACGACACCATAATTCAAAGACGGCGTCTTTAAAAGATGTGAATCAAGATATTTACAATAATTTAAAAAACCAAATACTTAACTTACTGATAGCCTAAACACTCATAATGATTTCTTATATTTACGCGAACATATATTAACACAATGAATAAAACTACTTTTACGTATTTTATCGCATTTAATTAAGTTATTTTTCTTATTTTTATTAATTCTCGACGTTTCGGGTGCTTTCCAGCACCCACAGTCCCCGTGACCATGGGTGCTGGAAAGCACCCGAAACGTCGGGAATTAATAAAAATAAGTTAATTAAACGCGATAAAACCCGTAAAAGTAGTTTTTATTCAAAGCCTAAACACTCGTGCAACCTTTCAAAATGTCCACCTTGTTCAATATATTTTAATGACCGTTTTCTTAATCGATATTTTAATTTAAAAAGCACTTCAGTGTCATTTTTCACTATTTCAAAAGCGTTTACTATCCTATTTTTTAGGTCCTCGGCACTTGTTGTCACACTAACACAAACTAATCACCCCCCACAAAAAAAAGGAAAGAGGCGTCAAATCAGCTGATCTGGGAGGCCACTGGACAGGGCCGCCGAGACCGTATCAGCGCTCTCCAAACTCTGTATTTGTAGACTTTAAGGTGCTTGAAATAAGGTTAATTTTCCTTTATTTTGTATTGATTGACAGAATTTGTATTAATATCCATATTAAAATTGATAGAAATCGATTCAGTAAACGATTCTTAATAAACTACTTTCAGGATGTGCGTTAATTATGTTACATGGTTTGATAATTATGATGCATAATTAACAATTTCAGATTGTTTTAGGCCACAAAAGTACATGATTATGCATGCTTGTCAGTTTATTTAATAGAATCAATAATGAAAAAAAAACCAAATATTTAACATTTTAATTCACTCAATTCTCGTCACTACTATTCAATTAATATAAATTCACGAAAAATAAATAAATTATTAAGTCTCATTACTAATTAGGAAGATAGCCTTTTGCAATATTTTAATCATTATTAACTACGTTTTCTTTAACCAGATTGTAATTGTACATATAAATATAATTGGAAAAAAAAATGTACTAAAAACTTAATATTGCTAAAATTACAAAAATAGAATATTTTTCATGTATACCAGTTTGAGAAATACAAAATACATACACAGTCTACTTTTCATGTATTTCACTTACTTTGATATTGAAAGTAGAAGTCATTTGACGTCTTTTATATTCCAACATTTGCAAATACAATATTTCAATCATTACTTACCATAACCAAGAAAAAAATTATAATCGTGATTAATATATGATACAACAACCGTTTTGGATTTTTATTGCTGCAAATTTTTTTTTCAATTGCCACAATCTAATCTAATCTAAGGTAGACATTGCACAGAAACAGTTTGTTTTATTCTTATTTTAATTTTTAGTCTGCAGTGTCCATACAGTGGATCAGCAACACCTAAGCTTCTAAGGCACTCTATTTATTTCCTCTTTGATAACATGTAATGTAAATACTGTTTGCTGGCAAAATGTGCTTATCAAAAATAGTTTAGAATAAGCAAGTTGAACTATTAGCGAATGTTATGCGGTCAGTGCAAAAAATCGTTGAATCTCAAAATAACGTATAACTAAGGTGAGGTAAGTCCATCTCAAAATGTAACGGGCGTAATATTGGTGCATGAATAAAGTGCACTACGGAAGTGTCAAGTTGTAAAGTGCATTACGGAAGAGACAACTTTTAGTGGAAAATGAACTTAAATATCTAAAATTTCAAGCATTAGCAATAAATCGTGAGCAAACACTGTCAAATATTAAGCAGAGATAAAAACGTGAGTTATTACGACATTACAATATCTTTCTACTTCAGGTAATTTCCTTTAAAAATGCAGAACATACAATACTATTATTATGTTAACCTAAGGAAGATTGCTACAATTATAAGTTGGTTAAGCTTTACATTTACAATTAACATTTCTGCTATATTAAATAAATGTTAAAAACCCTTAACTTACACTTAAATACATTTAGAATTTATACAAGGTTATTAATAATATTAACATTAAGGGAAGTAGGAACTACTAAAGCGATAGACACTATATAAGATAATATTGTTGCTGGACTATGAAAACATTTATTTTAGCTTTTGGATGAAAGTTTAAGCTTATTTAATAAAAAAAATATTTTATCTATCTTGATCACCAAAAAAATAACATATACAATAAGCCTAGCAGTGGCACTAAGTCATTATAAAATAATTATGCCCTCCAAACCAAATTATGGTCAGCTAGCTTAATAATCGAAGACTAGCTCTCTGCGGAGATGCTCACTATTCCCTCACTCACATAGTCCGATGGGGCGGATATCCGAAACGACCGGAGAAATCAAGCTAGGCCAACGGCTTTACGTGATTTACGTGACATGGGGGTGAATCACCGTTAACTTCCTGACTACGGGAAGCGACTGTTTCTTGACAGAAAATACAAATAACATATTTTGACCCGACCCGGCATTTGAATCCGCGACCACGTTATCAGCAGACGCGCTTACGACCACTAGGTCAAGGAGGCGCTTAGTTTATAAAAGTAGAACAAATAAACAAATATCAATATAATATAGCTTTTACGGTAAGACATTCCATGAACTGCTAAAATGAGTATATAAAAATATTTTGCATTGTCTGTTCTTTTCAGAATTTTTTTGTGAGCTCGATTATGTTTTTCTTTTCTACCGATTTCAAGAAGAAGGAGGTACTCAATTCGAATGTATGTTTTTTTTATAGGAGTGGGGGCAAACGAGCATGCGGCTCACCTGATGGTAAGTGACTACCGCCGCCCATGAACAACTGCAACACCAGGGGAAATGCAAATGCGTTGCCGGCCTTTTAAAAAGAAGTAGGCTCTTTTCTTGAAGGTCCTTTTTTATGTAATAACCCTCATAACTTTTTTGAAATCAGTTCAGTAGTTTAGGAGTTCATCGCGGACAAACAATGTGACACGTAATTTTTATATATAAAGATTTATCATGAATATATCATTTTTATTTCCAGTAACATTGTCAGCTTTAACAAATAACTACACACAAATTTAAACGAGAAGGACATAGTTACAACTTTCCTAATAATGCAGAAATGTCAATCAGCCCTAATATTTGAACAATACTTTGAAAATAGATTTAATTCAAAAGACTACAGATTAAGCGTTACCTTTGTAACTTGTAACTTGAACTATTACTATGATTAGTAACAATGGACTAACACAACACCTCATTGTTAACAACATAGTTTATCATCTAATAATTCCTTTTATTTATTTCGTGATCATTCCCCTAAGCCCATAAGCTTCTCACACTAATAATATTTACTAACGTAGATATAAATGTATTAACTTTAAAAATGGACCTATATTTTAATAAACATATTATAAATTGAGCATTCTTAGTATAAAAATTGTTAACATTTTGTAGTTAACATTACCGAGTGTATTATTGTGTATTAATATTATTTTTACGACAATAATGTTCAAAAGAATAATAAATGTGTAAAATTTTCGAAATTTAAACTTTATATGAGTTGTAATTAGGTTTTTCTTGACCTTTCGTTAATGTAGAATGATATAAACAAAATTTTAATAAACTTTCAACTATTTTAGACTTCTATTTCGTATAAATTTTTGGAAATTCTTTTTATAATCTTGACTTTAGATATAAGGACGAAATTGGTATTTGCATATACTAAGAACGCTCAAACACGTATTTTGACAGCTCATTTTGTAACTATCATTTCACGTACTGTATTGGGATGCAGGCTCTGCCACACAAATGTAATCATGTAAATGGACTTGCACTTAAATGTTCCATAAAGGAAATGCAAGATCATTTTTCAAGGTTCCATTTACAATTTTATTAGATTCTGATTTTTTTTTAAATAGTTTTGAATAAAGGGAACGCGCATATTTAAATAAAACATGAACTATAACTGCGCACCCGACCCACAATCATTTTTATTCCTTTCTAAATCAATTCCAAAATGAAAATGTTACCTTACAATATTTGAATTTGATCTCATCTCGGTGGGTTAATAATAAAGTATTTGAATAATGTAACGGTAATTTTATTTGTTTCTTCATGGCTGGCAAATTTAAGCGTTCAATCAACAAATTGAAATAATATGAATTAGTGTTATTTATCACCTGCGAGCAACTCATACAACCTTTATTCAACATAACTTCCCCAAAAATAAGTATTATACTAATGATAAATATCAACTATTTCGATATAAATAAGTTAAACTGCATGCTCTGCCTAAAATGTAATATAAAAAGCCATTTTAACAATCTAAGGTAGAAAGTAAACAAGTTGAAAGAAAATGATAATTTTATATTCAGTTAAAATATTTTGGTATACAAATTTAAAAAATTATAAAAGAACTTTTGCAATAAATATTGTGCGCACACTATATATTTGATAATAGTGTTGGCTTCCACTATGTAATCATTTAAAAAATATATTACATGTAAACAACAGCTTGTAACAATATATTAAGTAGGTTTTTATATTGGCTTATATTGCTTAATTGTAGAGAACAACATTTAACATTTCAATTATACATATAGTCAATAGAACTAGCAGGAGCATGTTACATTTCAATTTTTTTTTAATTATTATAAGTCAGTGCTTTACCACAATTCCAGATGGAGATAAGTGGATATAAATATTATGTACAAAATATCAGTGTTGCCATTTCAACAATCTAAAATTACCACTCTAGGTCATTTATAATTTCAAAATTGCTATCTTGTCTTTTTCCTCTTTTTTTTTTTTATAGGATAGGGTGACAAACGAGCACACAGTCCACCTGATGGCAAGTGACATTTATGTTCGCAACCATTATTTGGTTGGCGTCAAATATTCTAAGTTTTCGTCTTTTACCAATACCATTATTATCTACGAGCAGTTTATTATTTCCCTTACAATTCATACACATTTCAAAGTTTGTTGGTGCATATATTTCAAAATGATCATGATTAAAATACTGGTAAAGGCGAATACTAAATTGTATTAAAATATTATCGGAAGAAAAATTAGTATTCTACTACTGTAATTTTTTTATTTTAATTAGGTTTTCGGGATTCTGTCCTCTTGAAGATAAAATTACATAATCTTCCTACATTAGCGTTCATATATTATTGGTTGACCCCAATAATGTTAGGCCCTTGTTTCACTATTCAAAAATACAATACGTGACAACTGTTATCAAAGATTTGTTTGAGTTTTAACAATTTGAAGTCTAAACAAATCTTCGATAACAAACTTCATTAAAACTAATTTTAAATTAATAAATAATGCTTAGGAGTCCATTTGAGATTTCTGGAACGACATCTGAAAGAAGGTTATTATGTTAAAATGCTATTTTCATCATAGCAGAATATGTACCCGAGGAATCCACTTGATATAATTAAATCATATATCATAAGAATATTATCTGAACATTTAGGATATCCAGGCTGCAAGAAATTTGAAGCATAGATATTAAACCTTTTTGCTGCCGTATTGTATTTGAACGACCGAGCTAGACAACAAAGAGACTAATGCTCAGACTGATTATACCTGTCAAAAATTGATTCCTCCAAAACTTAGACTGATTTAATTTTTTTTTTTGCCAAGAACATAAAAAAGGATTGCGTCTATGTCTGTATGTTTATCTTTTATTTTCTATGATTGTTTAATTTGTTTGTTGTGTACCTAATAACCACGATATAACTGTTTTATTAGTTTAAGAAGGTTCGTAATTTTTAAGTGATTGTTGTACTAATTCTTAAAAATGAGACGACGGCGTTTATTTTATATTTTGTACTAGCTATTCCCCGCGACTTTACCCGCGTGTAAGTTAAGGTTTCATTTTCTTTTGCGCGGAACGCAACCATAATTCTTTTTCTAAAATAAAAGTAGCATATGTTACTCATAATAACATCAGCTATCGGCCAGTTAAAGTCCCGTTAAAATCGGTCCTGCTATTTCCGAGATTAACCGGAACAAAAAGACAGACACAAAAAGTTTAAAAATTGTGGTTTTGTTAGAAATACCATAATATATACTTTCATATGCATTTAGTATAAAGCTGTTATTTTGACATTACAAGCAGACACTTCAATTTTATTTATTTGTATAGATATTAGACATTTGTGTATTTTAATTTGTAATTAAAAGTGAAATACAGCTTGCCTAATATACAAACTTTATTTAATGTAATTTATTCGAAATAAATATTAATAATAAATAGAAATAAGTTACAGTCCTCACTCAACATAACAAATTATTTGACCTTATATCTTAAAGCTATCAAGTAGTGTAATTAAATTTTGGATGTGGATGATAGATAATATGTAGCTGCAACACTGAACTCTAAACCTGGAGTTTGGTATTATAAGTTTTCTGAATTGCCTCCAATTATGGAAGTATATCCACAGTAGAACCAGAGTAGCTGACATAGCCCAATGGATAAGTAAGTGGAAGTGGTAATGGGCCGGCTATATAGGTCGAAGAACCGACAACCGATGGGGAAGACAGGCTCTCGAGTGGCAGCCTCGTACCGGTAAGACATGCAGGAATTGATGGATGTAGATGTCGCAAGACTGTGCTTTGTGGCATTCCTTGGGAGGCTTATGTTCAGCAGTGGGCATGTGAAGGGTTGTATGATGATAGTAGCAAATTTCAGGACGTATTCAGGTCAAAAGGTGTGGTTGCATGAAGTGGGAGGTACCCAGGTCAGAGCGCGAGCCAGGGGTGGTGCCGCAGCGAGTCGCGCGAGCGGTCCCCGTAGTCGTAGGTGAGCTCCTGGCCGGGCGCGATGTCGTGCGCCGCCAGCAGCACGAGGCGCGGCCCGTCCACCCACAGCGCCTTGGTCACCAGGTTGCCGGCGCGCGAGTGGTTCACCAGCCGCCCCAGCCGCCCGCTCTCTGCGGTCGCGTCGATGCTACAAACAACAGACAACCTCTTAAGCTGAAAACTTTTTTAAAAACATTGTGATTGGAAACTCGATGAAAGGAAAGAGCGATACTTAAGACACTGTGACCGTTATAGCCCATTAAAGAGTCCATTGCTGAACATAGGCCTTAAATTGCCTCATAGGGGGCCTCATTTACGATAGTTGCCATGCTTGGCAAGAGGGTTGGCATAAGCAAATTTATATTTTTAGTATTTGCCTGCTGCCCATCTCCTGATTTGTTTCCTTCTATCACCTCTTACGACAACCACGGGAAGATACGGGGAAGTGGATATTCTTACACCGCCAATACACAGTAAATAGACAAACATATACATCTATAGGAAATGCATGCAAGAGAAAGAGATAGAATATTATATCAAATTAGTTGTGTTCTGTGGCCATCTAGCGTCTATTTTGCATACCATCTAGATACTCAATCAATTTTTGTTCAATAAAATGGACTTTACCTATAGAATTAAATGTCGCTATTACAAAGAAATTTTACTAGCAACAACGATAAATAAATAATTAGGAACTCCATTCTTCACTGTTGCAGTTTATCTTAATACCCGAAAAAAAGTCTCACCAATACTGTTGATCGCCATGCCTAAAATAGTACATGTAACAGCCGGCTTCCGGATCCTGAGCATAGAGTCGCTCTCGCTCTCGAGCCTCAGCCACGCCCACCAGCTCGCCCGCGTACTCCACAACAAACTGCCCGCGTTCGAAAGGACGCGTTGCTATTACACCGCGCCCTTTACCCTCGAAGTACGCAACCTAATGCAGAATTAAAAGGAAATATTAACTTACATAAATAAAAATGTATATTTATATACGTAAAATGTGGCTTAATTGGGGAAGGCCTTTCTTTTGCAGTGGACTTGTGATATTTATTTTTTAAATTGCCAATCATAATATACATCAGACCACTATAATTTGTAACATGGTTTTATCGTAAAAAAAGTTGACCTTGTACTAAAACAATATTTCAGATTTTTAGTGTGAAATATATATATATAGATAATAAATTTGTTTAAAAATAATGCAGAATCGATAAAAAGCGCCTTAGATGTTAATAACGTATTATTCATACTCAAAATAAGGTTATAAATAACTCTTTGTGAGATAAGGCCCCAGGTTAGATAAGATGAATGTTACGTTAACTTTCTGCAAAGTTTTGGATTTAAAATACACATATATTTCAACCATTGTCATTGGAATACATTTTCTAATACTTCATCAAAATAGTTTACTGTAATGGGTGCATTACAAACAATTGTCCCATGCAAAAATCAATGCTTTCCCAGTGTGATTAGTTTAGTTTACGACGGGCTTTTTTTCCCGCAACTCCACGTCTGAGCGCGTATATTGCGTGTGGGCAGGAATATCACAATTATTTGAGCCTTTAAATCTCCTCAAAGAAACTCAGCGGTTCCTCGATGTTGCCAGAAACTTCAGGAAGTGATCTCAGCGTGCCGATATGTTTAGCCCTGCATGCAGTGGCCTCTGGACATGCCAGCAACACTTGGGTCGCCGTTTCCTCCTCCTCATACATGCTCTCCACTGTGGTACTAAGCAATTAATTATTTTATTATTATTAAGATAAGATAAGATAAGCCATTTATTCCAAACTTTGGGATTACATGGTTATGACAATAAATAGTTGCAGATTAGGTAATGTATAAATTAAAGGATGTCCCGCAGTTCGGTGTGCCTATTGGCATAGGCCTCCTCCAACATTTTCCACTGGGTTCAATCGTGCATTACCCTTCTGCAGTGATGACCAGTTGTGAGTTTGAAATCGTCTTCCCATCTCGTCTGTTGATGCCCTCTATTGTGCTTGCCATCTCTGGGGTACCAATCAGTGATGCTCTTAGACCATTTGTCCTGGGGATCTCGGATCATGTGGCCTGCCCACCTCCACTTTTGTTGGTCTATTCGGGTAATTATATCGAATACTTTTGTTTTTTCCCTTATTGTGCTACTTCTTACTTTGTCTAACTTCCTTATTTCTGTTAAACTTCCTTCCATGGCTCTCTGACAGCATTTCAACTTTTCTCTGTGAGATTTGGTGAATGCCCAAGTTAAATACTCTACTTTTTAATTGCATGCTTAACCCCTTGGATTTCACGATTTCTTTTAAGGACCAGTACCTCTTCCACCCATTCGCTGTTCTTCTCTCAATTTCTTTGGTGGTTTGTTCTTTGTGAGAGATTATCTGTCCTAGATAATAATATATTCTGTCACATATTCTAGTGGCTGGTTGTCAATATCAATCATTATTGGTTCAGCATTTGTGAGTAATTTTCTTTTCTTTGTTCATGGATATACCTACTTTCAAACTTTCTTCCTGCAGTGATTTTAACATGTTCTTTAGATTTATCGGGTTTTCTTCAAACAGGACTATGTCATCCGCAAATCTCAGGTGGTTCAGTTTGACACCTTGCACATTGAGGCCGAAGTTGTTCCATTTTATTATTTATTATTACTAACTTATGGTTAATTATGACAGTTACAAAAATGAGCAAAATGTACAATCAAAAAATTTTGTGCCCTAGAACTGGTCACAACTTGTGATTTAAAAGTTGCACAAAATAGATGGCAGTCTAGCCTAGAAAATACATCTGGTAAACTTAAATTAAAGAATTTAAAAACCTCCGAAACAAAAAGCGCTGATGATCTTCTAACGCTTCAAAAGATTTTCTTAAAACATAGCCATGAACACTCTTGATTAAGACACCTTTCAAACAAAAAAAACTTAATCAAAATCAGTTCATCCGTTCAGCAACTATAATGTCACAGACAGGCACACTACAAACTTATAATACCCCTTTGTCTTTGTTGGGGGTTAAAAATCATTATCCATTTCATGTATAACAATAATTGTTTTGTATGTGGTAAAACCATGCTGCAGCTATATTAATTGTATAATTGTAGCACAAATTGTTTACCTCAACCGGGGAAGGACCACATTCTCACAGAATACCAGTGTAAAATAGTATGGTCAGTGTAGAGAACTGGAGACTTTTTTTACTGGAAAAGAGGCATTTCATCTTAGTTCTCACGGCTGACAATGCATCTGTATTTTGATTCACAAATGAGGATATATAGATAGCTATGGGCCACAGCAACCACTTACCATCAGGTGGACTGTGTGCTTGCTTGTCACCCTTATCCTATAAAAAAATTGTAATCCTGATTTATTGTCATTTAATATTTCTGTTTGATAATGATTTTATAAAAAAAAAAACATCCAATAAAATTTTAACCTGGACAGTGTTTTTATAAATATTAATTGCTAGTTGATAGCAATTAACTAGTTCTAGGTAAGAATGGCAATGTAATTAAGGGGCAAACCCACTTCAGTCTTGTTATTAGCAATTTTTTTTATTTGTACAAAAAAATTGATATGCCCCATTTTAATTTTTACATTTTCATCTGATTCTGAGCTATGTACAAAATTTAAAGTCTCTAGCTCATCAGAAAGTGCTTAAAATTTAAGTTGCAAGATTCCACCCAGAATGACAGACAGACAAATAGACAAGAAAGTGACTTAATAAAAATGTGGTAAAACCTTTGTTATTGATGTTATCTTTCATATTTCTTGAGAAGCATATGAAAGATACTATAAATCTTTATCTTACACTATATAAAGAAAGTAATCAATGGGTAGCTCAGACGGTTAGCACTCACTGTAAGTTTCACAGCACGCAAGCAACCAGGTTGCTTGCATGCTGTGATTCAATCCCCGCCGGCACCAATGAAATTGTTAATTGTAATTTTAAGTGCTGATTTACCACATGCATGGCGGTGAAGGAAAACATCATGAGGAAACCATGTCTAAGAAATAAGACATAAAATTGAATAAAACTATTTTTACGGATTTTATCGCGTTTAATTTATTTATTTTATATTCCCGACGTTTCGGTTGCTTTCCAGCAACCGTGGTCACGGGGGACTGAGGTGATTGACGTCCCGATGTCAAAGTTAACCCGGAGTACCTTCAGCTTTTTAATTATTAATTTTGGTCCGATCTACGCAGAATGAACTAACTGTGTCTTGAAGTCTTACAGTGGTATGCTTGGGTTTAGTTTTAATTTTATGAATTACAGGATCCCAAGCAGGTGGTAGTACCCAGCCTCCCTCTCTATTGAAATTAGGATGTTTTTTAATTTCAATAGCCTCACGTATCATCCTTGGCAGGAATCGATGTTCTTTCGCGAGGACTTGTGGTTTATCAAATCTAATAATATAAAATAAGTAAATTAAACGCGATAAAATCCGTAAAAATAGTTTTATTCAATGTGTAGTGTTCGCGTAAATATAAGAAATCATTAAGACATAAAATATTTCAAATATGTGAAGTTTGCCAACACGCATTGGGGCAGCTCGGCGGACATGTCCTAGGCCTATAACCCTCTCAGAAATGAAAGGAGGCCTGTGCCTAGCAGTGGGAAGTATATAGGCCGTATCTTTTAATCAAAGAATTAAAATATATTCAACGCAGTTTACCTGCAGTCCATCTTCCCTTTGTTCTCTTACAGCTCGTTCCAAGTCACGCATTTTTTCCGCCATTACACATTTTGAAGTCTTTCTAACACTACGCCTAACTGGATAATACTCTGTTAGTTTGTGGTTTGTTTGTCCATTAACAGATTTAGCTTCTACTTTGGCAGGCTTGTCAATGGCTAACAAAGGTGGTGACTCTACTTTGGGTTGATTCTTGAGCTCTTCTTTGAAGTACTCTGTTAGTTTATGACTTTCATTTGCTTTAAAAATTGCTTTTGGGGCACGAGACCGCATTGTGTTGCCGTTGGTCATATTGGTAATGCTACCGTTACTACTCTTTAGTGGCTTAGACTTTACTTGAACTTTTTTTAATGGTGCCTCAGTCAACAATTCCTCATTTTCAGTCTTTATAGGTGATGCAGCGACAAGTCTATAAAAAGATAATATGGTGATTTATCATTTAAATGTGAAAATGTAAATTGACTCCTTACTAATGTTCAAGTAATTAAGTTTCTATTATATGTAATATAATCACAGTGCCACTTGTTTTTAGAGGAATTATTAACAACTAGCTGGCCAGGCAGCTGTTGTTCTTCCCTCTACGACTTTGTCCTATAAAACTCCTTAAATTACTAATAAAAAATATTGAGAGTCACTTATCAGGATAAAAACTATCCTATCTCTCAAGTTGGAACAAACTGCACACAGTTTCATTGAAATCAGTTCAGTAGTTTAGGAGTTCATCGCGGACAAACAATGTGACACGTAATTTTTATATATAAAGATGAGATTGCCATAAATAAAATGAGATATAATAATAATATATTTTATTTACTCTCACAATTTAAGTTACCAAAGGTAAAGTATAAACAATGTAAATGATAATTTTTATTTAATGGAGTTCTGGCCACCAGTAGCCTTCTTAAATTATAATTGTCTAAGAAGTATGAAAATAGAATACCTGCGCTTTCTGTAGTTTCGTACAGGTCTATCCAATTTTTCCTCACAGAGCTCAATACGATGGGGAGTCTTGACACCCTCTTGGGTCTGAGTTATTAAATTATTAACTGAAAATACAATTATTAAAAAAAACTTTTTGAAAAAAGTTACATCACAATACAAATTTTAGGTTGGCATTAATAGCTCAAAAACATGTGTTATTCTAGTGACCCAATGTAATAGGATGATTGATTTGTAATAGGAAACTAGGTAATTTGCGTCGGACATTCAAATGAAATATTTGAGGTTTCCGTACCTCACAGACTACACAGTACTCTGTAATCTATGAGCTGTTAGACCAGCTTAGTTATGCTGGTTCTCTGTTATACAGTGCTCGCCAATTTCATAACATATTTTCCTTCACTTGTAAGCTGCTTATATAAACAACAGATTGCAGAACTGCCATAATATGCCATGCATAGAGCAAGCTTATGTCTTGAATTAATTAATAAATAGAGAGATTCTAAGAAATACACAAATCTTCAAATAGTTTTAAAAATTTAAGTATGTAATAGCTATTAGAGTTGAGACAGGAATTACATGAATTAATTCCTCCCTCCCCTTTCCTACCATAGTACAAAAAGGTTGTTGTTATTGTTGATGTTCCTCTCATTCCAACAAAATTATTTGCTTTGTTTTTCATAACACACCCTGCAAAGAAGTGGAATAATTTACTGGCATCTTTTTACAATCTGCATATCTTTAAAGCAAGAATGAATAGGGATTTGTTATGCTTAGTCAGTGCATTTTACTATCTCAGCTATTTAACTATGGTTGTAATGAACATCGCTTACCTATAATCTATATCTCTAATGCTAATAATAAGAAAAAAGGTAAATTGTGGTGTGGCAGAAGCATAAAAGAATATTTTACTTAATTTCAAATTAATTTAGAAAAAGGTCCAGGCCTCATAGCCTCCCATAAATGGAATTCAAGCTTCTTGCCTGCTTAGAAGTATAGCTGGGCATGTGCCGCCTCTTCCCTATTTCTACCATCAAGCAGAAACACATTCACTTCTTCATTCTAGTTCAAAGGAAAGGTGTCTATTTAAAAGCAAGCTTTGAGGTAATATTTACAGTAGAAAAGGTTATAGTTAAAAAGGTTTTACATGACATTTTCAAAGCATATTATGGTGTTGGACCTATATAAAATTTCCCATTAAAAGACTACATTTTGTCTTATAACAATAATTTGCAAAATTATTTTATATATTTAGTTATTGATTACTTACATGTTTTTGCCGCCATTACCACAATGCCATAGACAGGCAAAAAATGCAAAGGCAGAAAAACAAGCAGCATCAAATTTAAAACTAATGAAAAATGACACGCTGTTCAAATTAAAATTCTATAGAAGAGGGTATGAAACGAACAAAGGTTTTTTTAAATCATCAATGCGGTTATTTTATACAAATAATACTAACCTCGAACCATTTTCACTTGAAAAGATTATAGCTGACACAAAATTATAGAACACCATATACCTAATAATTGGTTTAATTACCACGAAAAACAAACTGCATTACTAGAAACTCGCGTTACAATTGTTTTGTAATAGACCTTGTCAAATATATTGTTTTTGAATAGTAATCGCTGACGATCACGTCATTTTGTATTTGTGATGGTACGATTTGATAACGTTCGTAATCACTCACTAAAACTTCTAGGAACTCGTTAGAGTACCGATTTTATTCCTTGATCTAAAATATAATAACATTATAGCATAGCGCTCTAAAACGTCAAAAATATTTGTTCTCAGAAAAAGGACGCTTTAGCTTGGCTTTAGCTTTACAAAAACCATAGATTTTTTTTTTGGAGTTTATGGCCTGGTATCTAGACCTTTAGGCCAAGTCTTAAGTATTTTTATTCGGTTTATTGTAATTTCCCCACTCCTTCATAGTATACTGCTTCACAATATGTTGATGCGTCACATTGTGCAGTTCTTGGGAGATTTTGGCGGCAACTTGATCCAGCAGACAGCTGATAGTTGGCGATGGTATCTAAAGGTGCCTATGCAAACAAACAGCTTATCTTGAGAATCCATCACCATCAGAGCACTTGTTTCACTGTTTCCACTAATAGTTCACATGCGTAGACACTTAATACACAAAATCGCAACACTTTTACATATCAAAGTCCACTTCGGACCATTATTTAAACAATAATACAGGAGCAGCAAACCGCCGCCGGTCAATTTCCCGCCAAAACTCACAAAAACCATAGATAGCAAGCTCAGTGTTGCCAACAGGCTGGTGCAACTTCCATAGTAAAAATTATATGTACTACAGGGGTCAAATTTTAATGACGGTTATCTGTTCTTTCTGCTTTTGGTAATATGTCTATTAACGACATTGTCAAATCAAATAGGTTCAAATGTCAAATCAAACAATTATATTTTTATATATTTTATTTATTAAGATTGCTTTTAATTTTGCTATAGGGGCCGTTGTTCATTTACAGAATTGTCAAAAAATTAAATATGCATTATAAAACTTTCCAATTAAATGGTGCAAGAAGCGGAAAAAATGATAACAAGAAAAGGCTATTCGTAACAATATTTCCCTTAGATGATGAAAGGTATGTGGTGATTTCAACTTTAATAGTAATATGATATTCAACGCGAGTATATTTTTGGACTAGCCATCTACGTTAGACAGGTTTTTATAGTGTACGATTGTGTGCACAAATACAAACACACTATTTCCTAAATCTGATAGTTCGATGGTTTGGCAATCCGAAACGAACTATACTTAGAAACTAAAAGTCAATTCTGACTGCTAACATTCTATTTGTATGTGTATTTATATTATTTTTTCAGATGCAAGCAATGGGTGAAATAGCTGGCACATGCACCAATTGAAAAGATTCACATGTTAAAACATATTTGTGGCAAACATTGAACATTGAGGGTTCAAAACCCTACTAAATCGAATTGTTATTTCATCAGTGCTCTTAATTTAAACTTCTACAATTACGTGTATGTTAATTAGATTTCATTTACATGTAGCAAAAGATAATATCCCTGTAAAGTCACATTTTGGTAAGAATTCGATTATATAAATAAACTCAAAGTTATTTGTACCTGGTTATAAATAATTTTTTTTTTAGATTCATCTACAAACATTAGCTATAATGAGCACACATTTTGAAAGCGACGATTTAAAAACGATCTCTGCGAATAGTATGTACATAGCTACCTTTGTGAAGAAGCCTAGCGATTTGTACATAGTATTTGTTACACATAAAAGCAATTTAATCCAATCAGTGTTAAAAACCTAATATTTGTACCCTTTATCAAAACAAACGTTGAAAACAAGCATCCAGACCCAGACTATTTATTTTACAGCATAGCAACACTTGTTCAGTGTGGGAATGAAGCCTCGGCCCTGCTATGCCGCAGCCAAACGCTTAGCCGTCGTCATCATTTATTTTTTACTTAATTAATTACTAGTATAGTAATGGCTTTTTTGGACACATTCTGACTTTTCACAATAGAGTGTAGAGCCCCATTCACTCTATTTCCTGCATTCACTCGTCGTTCTATATCCTTATCATATCTACCATCCCTGCTAAACACACATCCCAAATATACAAACTCATCTACTTGCTCTACCAACTCCCCTTCTATTCTTATTTCACATATCGTTTTACTTTCTTCTCTTTCAAAAACCATAACTTTCGTCTTACTTGCGTTCACTTTCATTCCCTTTTCTTTTAATGTCCTGTTCATTAATGTAACCATCATTTGCAACTCGGCTGCCGACGACGCAAGTATAAGTCATACTTGCGTCGATCGTCGGTGTACAAAAGGCATTTGACGGTTAACTCACCCATTCTTAACCCGCATTCTTCTACTTTCAAATTTTCCAAGCAACTGTTCATAAATAGGTTGAACAACCACGGGGAAGCCACACAGCCCTGTCTGACACCTTTATGGATGTCAAACCAGTCCGAGTAGGCCCCGTTGATCCTGACACAAGCACTAGAGTCCCTATATAGAGACTTCAATGCCTGTATCAGACCAGCGCTCAACCCAAATGAGTTCAGTGTTTGCCATAACACATCCCTGTCCACTCTGTCATAAGCCTTCTCCAAGTCCATGAACGCACAAAAAAACATTTTGGTTTTTGGCCAAAAACTTCTCGGCGATCATGCGCATGGAAAAGACCTGATCCGTACATCCCATTCCCTTTCTAAATCCCGCTTGCACATCCCAAATTTTTCCGTCACTTTCTTTCATAACTCTTTCAATTAGTACCTTAGCATACAGTTTTCCCACAATGCTAAGAAGGCTGATACCACGGTAGTTTTTACAGTCCTGCTGTGATCCTTTTCCCTTATATATTGGGACTATCACGGCTTTGCACCAGTCTCCCGGTACCCGCTTAAGTTCCCAACATAAATTAAACAAGGTGTACAGCAGGTCTGCCACCACTCCTTCTCCAGCCCTTAGCATTTCGAGAGATGCTCTATCATAACCGGCTGCCTTACCTGCTTTCATACTTTTCATTGCTTTCATTATTTCATCTATACTTATATCTCTATCCATTTCCTCTTCTTTCGGAATTTCTATTTCATTTAATTCAAACGTCTCATCACTCATAAACACGCTTTCAAAGTATTCCTTCCATCTCCTTAAACTCAAAACTTCGTCATTCAGAATACAGCCATTCTGGTCTCGTATAGCATTCATTCTAGGCTGTTGTGAATGTCCCCTGGTATTTGTTACGAGTTTCCAGAACATTTTAACGTTTGCCTGGAAGTTATCCGATATTCGTTTATCATTCTTATCCGTTCTTTCTTGCTTTTTCCTTTCAACTACTTCTTTTACTCTCTTATTCAGGTGTCTAAAAACTGCCTTTTTCCTTTCAATATCATCATTCATACTGCTAGAATTACTAGCCTTGGTTGCTAGTAAATCTAGCCATGCTTTCTTTTTTGCTTCAACTTCCATCCGTACCTCATCATCCCACCATAACGTGTTATTTTTCCTTTCATTCGTTCTCTTACTTACACCACATACTTCGGTAGCTGCATCCACTAAACCTTTCTTGACATTATACCACACAGTCTCCAAGTCTAAATCATTCATACACAATTCAGCCATACCACTTATATTTTTTCTCAATCTACATTTGAACTTCTCTTTCACACCTTCATCTTGTAACCTCTCTGTTCTTATACGCTGTAACGCTGTGGTAGACATAGATGTCCGATGCCTCCAACGTCTGAAAAGACCATTAATTCGGCATAAGACCAAGTAATGATCCGTCCCTACGTTAGAGCCCCGGTAAACCCTTGTATCTACCACCGCGCTCCTCATTCTTTCATCAACAATTATGAAATCTATCATACTTCTATCATCACCTCTTTCCCATGTATACGTGTGAATCTTCTTATGACTAAAGAAAGTGTTCGTCACAACAAGATTCTTTTCCACGCATATGAAAAGTCAGAATGTGTCCAAAAAGGCACGTATGGCAATTCACAATGCTGTGTTAGTACCTACTTTAATGTATGGTAGTGAAAGTTGGATGTGACAGAAGAAGCATGAGAGTAAAATAAATGCTGTAGAAATGCGGTCATTAAGGAGTATGTTAGGGTTGAAGCTGAATGACAGAGTGAGAAATTGTTTAATAAGAGAAGAGTGTGGTTTGCAAGATGATGTTGTGACCAGGATTAAGAAAGGAATGCTTCGGTGGTTTGGCCATGTAGAAAGAATGAATGAGGAAAGAGTGACAAAGCAAATTTATGTTGCAGAGGTGAACGGCATAGTCGGGAAGGGTCGCCCTAGGCGAAAGTATATCGACCAAATTGGCGATATATTAAAAATGGGCCAAATCAAGAGTACGTTTAACCGACGAGCGTGTATGCGTAGGTATATGGATGTGGAGGAAGCGAGAGAGGTGTGTCAGGATCGTGCCAAATGGAAGTCCATAATCTCTGCCTACCCCTCTGGGTGACAGGCGTGAGTGTTTATGTATGTATGTATATGTATAGTAATGAGTTTTTTATTTTATATTTTCTTTATACATATTTTTGTACCTAATTGTAGAGATATAATTACAAATTGCTATGTGTAAAATACATTGATTTCTTTTCCTCATCGGCATTTTTACTCAATCCCCACGTTAAAAAATTTATTTCTCATAAATAATTCAGTATAGAGATCTAACTTTTATTATGTAAAAATATCGATAAACAATATATCGATAAAGGTAATATCGATAAAATTATTCGAGGATAGACATTTACAGCATTATTGTAATTCGTCAATGGTGTCAGCATTGTTTGTCAAAACTAAATGTCATATCTTGATGTTGGTAGAGTAGCTTGGCGTACTTTCATGCATTTACTTTTACTATAGAAGTCCCGCCTCTTAAAGGTAGTTTTTTTTTGGAGTTTATGGCCTGGTATCTAGACCTTTAGGCCAAGTCTTAAGTATTTTTATTCGGTTTATTGTAATTTCCCCACTCCTTCATAGTATACTGCTTCACAATATGTTGATGAGTCACATTGTGCAGTTCTTGGGAGATTTTGGCGGCAACTTGATCCAGCAGACAGCTGATAGTTGGCGATGGTATCTAAAGGTGCCTATGCAAACAAACAGCTTATCTTGAGAATCCATCACCATCAGAGCACTTGTTTCACTGTTTCCACTAATAGTTCACATGTGTAGATACTTAATACACAAAATCGCAACACTTTTACATATCAAAGTCCACTTCAAACCATTATTTAAACAATAATACAGGAGCAGCAAACCGCCGCCGGTCAATTTCCCGCCAAAAC